ATTGCCGTCTATATACCAAAACAGAATGCAGTGACCATCCTTTCTTTCCAAACCAGTCATTTTTGGTTTCACGTGCAGTTTTAGGTAAGATTTTCATTTTATAATTGACTAAAACTAATGCAGTATCATTATCTAAATCTAACAAATTAGCATTAAATTGAGCATTCAAGTAGACTTTTCTTGTTTGATGAGCAAGATAATATATCAAATGTTCTTTCAAATCATTAAGTTCTTCATGATATTTAACAGCTATACTATCCTTAATTTTTTGAAAATAGTTGAAAATTTCTTGACATTGATTACATATGTGAGTATAACATTCGGTACATTGACCAAATGTATAAAGTAAGCAATGATTTATATATATATTATGAAAAGTAGTTCCATTTGGCATAATATTAAAATGATGTTCATAATCACGGTTTAAAAATCTTTTTAGATTATTCGTTGTGATAGTTAATTGCTTCTAATATTCTAAAAAAAAAAAAAAAAAACATGTAAGTATTAAGAAATTATATCTAAAAATATTGAAATTAATACCTTTTCTAATAATTGTATTACATATTTATCAATAAACTTAGTAAGATCAGAAAATATTTCATATCCATACTGTTGACAAGTATGATATAATCCTCCCAAATCCTCACGATAAGTATATTTATTACCTTCTAGTTTTTTATAAAAACTTGTGCGCTTAATTCTATCAGGATATTGTTCATGAAATTTTTCCCAGAGAGCTTTTTTGGTATGTTTTAGATAATGTACTGGTTCATTTGTTGCAGTATCAGTTTTATATGAGCTCATAACAACATGTGCTTTATCCATTAAAAATGCATCTAAAGCCTGCTGTTTTTCAACTGAAATTTTTTGGCGTGTAATAATTGGCTTATTTAATATAGCACATCCAGGACCATTAAGTCTAGCATGCCTGTATGCATAGCAAATTGCATCATTAGATACCTATTGGCAAGTATATTTTCATAAATGATTAGTATTAGAATTAGAAATTTATTCATACTAAGAATATTCAAAAACAACTTTATATTATTAGAAATTAAAGTATTATTTGAGTACTATAATTGAATATAAAGAAGATAACAAATCGGTAAAATGTATATATATATATTTTTTTTTAATTCTGTCTAATTAAAATCTTTTACTTATTTTTGAAATTCAAATATTTTTCAAGGTTATTTATCAAAACAGTAGAGTTTAGCATGCTGAAATATTAGATCTAAGTTCAACTATAGATATCTAGTTATATAAAATTAGAGCAGTGATGTTCATACGTCATTGCCTAATTGATGTTTTAATGTCTGCAAAGATATGCAGGAATTAGACTGAAGAATTAAAACTCTGGTTCACTACAGCGTGGAAATAGGTTGCTAACAAATTGGTTTAAAGAGCTCTATTTGAATGGCTTTAGAACTTCCTCAACCTTAGGTTCAACATTCCAACATGCTAAAACTCTATAGTCTTAACAAGCAACATTGTGATAAAGTAAAATAGGTCTTGCTTAGTTTATTAGAATTATTTTTGTAAAGTTTGAGGTATATAATATTTATGCGCATTTATATATTTGAATAAGATAAATAATTACTTACATTTAAATTGGTTTTAATTTCATTATAGGTAAAATTATCAGCAATAATCGATAGTATTCGTGTTTTTCCATTAAATCTACGTTTGTTTTTATCTAACGTTTGACGAAAACTTTCCCAAAAAGTTGTGGTATGATTTTTGAAATTAGATGGTATTGGATTTAAAAATCTTTGCTTATACAATAATTCTAAATTAGTTTTGTCGATTTCAGGATTATGCGATCTTGACCAAAATATAAACTAAAAATAGTAAAAAGTATCAACGTTAATATTAATTAGTAATATAATCAAAAGTTAAGTAATTAGCAGATTATAAAAAATTTTATTTTACTTCTGATTGATCTTTACTAAATAGTGTTATTTCCGTATATCCTACAGCTTTTAACATAGCTTTCTACGCACGTAGTTCTCGATCATTTATTATATGGTTAAATGGATATAATATATGTAAACTAGTTTGTAATTCTATAATTGTTAAAGTTTCTAATTGCCATTAATTAAACTATTCAAACCAATTTACATGAGTCAAAATTCTACATTTTAGATGATAATTAAAAACACATTCCATTATTTGACTATTATTCCATTTATCTAACGTACAGGTGAGTATTTTAATAGACTGAATTAGGTTTTGCATATAGGGTTCTTCTAACCTAAAAAGTTTTTTCCCATTATATTGTTGTAAACAATTAACTTGGCTCCATAATTGATCAGGATTAATATTAGTAAAAGTTTTTGAAACTATCATTTGCTTATTATAAATTGTAAGTTTGCATTCTTCGTCATCAAATTCTTCAAAAAAGATGCATCATTGCTTTTGATACATATATATAAAGGCAGCTTTGTAACCAGTTCCAGCATAGTTCCATTCACTTTTATTTGACTTTTCTATACCAAGTATCCAAATTCGTAACTTTTCTAAACTAAGTGCATATACTTGAAAGGGAAAATCTTGAATTAAAATATTAGATATAGTTGAATTATCGAATTCCATTATTGCTGGACCTAAAAATTTCGTTGCAGTATTCATTATTTTTTGATAAACACTTGATATTGCATTCGTAGGTGACAAAAAAACTTCACTTTGAATATCATTACATTTACACAAATACTCAGGTGCTGGCCCATATTCTGATTCAGATTTAACTACTTCGATTATATAGTCAAAATTATGAAGTGTTATTAAGGTTTTCATATTAAGTCATATAGGGTAAAGTAAGGTTATATTTTGGGTTTTATTGGTTTGTCGTGATAACCACCAATTGTGGCAATAAGGTCCATAGTGTAAATTTTGAATAATATAGCCAGCAAAAATTAAAGTAACTATATATTCTTTACGTTTTGATATTTCGTATGTATTTGTAATATTGGAATATTCAGATTCTAAAACTACTCATAAAAATGTAAGTTTATTATCCCCGCATATATATAATATAATCAACTAATTTCACTGATTTACAAATAGATCACGAATTAACTTAAATGATCTTGCTTATTACTTTATTAAGAAAAGCTTAAATATAAATATAAAACTATAAGTCTGGTGATTTTAGTATAGTGATTAGGTTGCCAGACTACTATACAAGAGGTCTAGTATTCAAATCCTACTGTTGATGAATTTGAATAATTACTCAGACCTTTGTATCTAACTTATTGTAAACTCTGTTTGTTTCTGAAGTTGTAATCTTGTAAATCACATTGCACTAATATAATTTGGATATTAGAAGTATAACAAAGTGTTCAGAGAGCATAATATTATATGAATAAATCTTAATTGAATCTATGAGCAGGGGACTTGCATAGTAGAAATCTCAAGTTAGTGAAGTAGTACAGCTTTTAATAGTCATACTAGCTAATGCTTAATTTAGAAAGAAAACTATTATCAAAAGATGCAGATTGAGTCAGGTGTGTATAAATCTGTTCTACAAGGAAGATCAGTAACACTAATCTGGTTTAGCAGCTAACTAGATTGGAAGGATCTACCTCATGAAATATCTGAGAAAATAGAATACAGAAAACTAGTGGAGAGCTACAGTAGGAACTGAGGTTATATGAATATCTACAAAGGTTTAAGCTAGGTAAATTCATAAAATGAGTATAGACTGCTCTAGTAGGTATACTTCTGAGGTTAACTAGAGCTTTGTAGCTCACAATATATTGAGCATATACATTTTAAGAAGACCTAAGTCATGCAGTAAATAGATTCACAAGTAAGTCAGCTAGCTTAAACGGTTAGATATAGTAATGATGTTAGTTTAGAATAGGAAGAAAAATTAATAATTAGAGTGTTTAAATAGATAATCCATAGGCAGGTTGCAGATATAGCAGTATAGTGTAGAACTAACAGATAGTTAATTATCTGTATGGCAGACTACTTAAATTAGACAATGACTAAAGTTGTATATGTAGCTTGTTATATACTTATTATATAATTGTAAAATCTTAGAAGTCTACCTTAAGGTAGTTCTGTAATAACAAATTAATAAAATCTAATTGGCAAAGGAAGCTATCTTAATAATAAAAAAAATAAATAAATTTAAGACTATTTAAATATACTAGTATACAAAATAAATTCTTCTAGAACTGTTTCAGACTAACTTAGCTACCTCAAGAGTACTCAAGTTTGATCTGCTATAGAAGATTATTTTTTTATAAAAATCTTAATTTGTATATACAGATTCTTCAAAATTTAATTAATAATAGCAATTCCTAGTCTAATATTTTTTTTTTTTTTTTTACTTTATACAAATGCTATTAGCTAAACTTTATTAATTTTATAAATTTCAGAAGTAATACATATTGTGAGAGTACAACTAGCTATACATACAATTTTAGGTTGTCTATTTTAAGTAGTCTGCTTAAAGGTTCTACACTACTGCTATATCTAAAATTTTTTAGAAGATTCTCTATTTAAACTCTCTGGCTTTATCTTACTTACTACAAATATTACTCTTATAGTTAATCATAATTTTATACTACTTCACTTTGTGAAGCACTTAAGCTGACATTAGTTGCAAACTTTACTATTATCAGCCTAGATCTTATTTAAATAAGTTCTACTTTAATGCTTCCTAACAGATAGATATTACAATACCTAACTATGCTATACTATATTCTAATCTAGCTTGCATATACTCTTATTTGATATTGTATAAACCTAGTTCTAGCTATGGCCCTCTACCAGTTTAGACTTCTATATTCTTCTAAATATTTTATAAAGTAGATCTTTCTAATCTAGTTAGCTACTAAGCCAAGTTGGTATTACTATAATACCTAATGTCACAAACTTACTCATATTTACTCAATCTATATTTTCATATTCAGAAATCTTTGTTAGATTAAACATTAACTGGTATGACTATTAAAATTCGTACTATTTTACTTAACTTAGGATTTCTACTATACAGATCCTCTGCTTATAGATCTGATCTCAATTTATTTATATAATACAATTCTAACATTCTGTTATACTACTAATATCTAAACAATATTAATACAATGTAATTTACAGGGTTACAACTCTAGAAACAAAAGAGTTTATCATAAGTTAGATACAGATGTCTAGGTAATTATTCAATTCTGTTGATAGTAAAATTTGAACTCTAGACCTCTTATATAGTAGTCTGATAACCTATTTACTATATTAGATTACCAGACTTTTTCTAGTCTAATATTAAGATTCTAGATTCTTTCTAACTTAATTATTACTAAGCTAAAAATAGTTAACACCTAGTCTCAAGATATAAAAAAGTTTAAAAATTGTTATATATAATAAAAAGAATATACTATATATTATATGAACATAATATATAAAGAAAAAAACTTACTAACAAGTTAAAGAACCTATATATATACTAAAAAATAAAAAGAAAAATATCTCTCAAAAAGTAAAAAATTAAAAATATTATGCTATATAACAAATAAAAATATATATCTCTGTATGTTTTCTTTATATATTAAATCTAGTTTTATTTATATCACAATAATAGGCTACTTTACATATTTGTTATCTTTATTTAAGGTTATATAACAACAAAACCAAAAAAAGAAGTAGTTATATTATGTAAACCTTTTAGAGACAGTAAGCTAAATTCTTTATTTTTTGAAAAAAAAGCTAAAAGAAAAAAAACAAAGGTATAAGTATTCTAATTTTATATTTAGAAAGTGTATTGCAAATTTTATATTCAAACTTTTCTAGATAAGTTTTCTTTACTAAAGAGTTACACTATTAGAAATACTTTTTTTTTTAGCTTAGATACCAAATAGTATAGAGGAGTCTACTGGAAAAAAGGTTAACTCCTATTAAAACTATAGAAGACTGAAGTTTTTTATTCATACTATCTTTTTAGCTAAACTTTTTACTTTATTGATAGTATTCTTTATAGAGAATATTACTTAAATAAAAAAATTTTTACATAAAATATTGTATTTGTTTACTTATAAATTTTAGTACAAGTAATTAATAAAAGAGTTGTATATAGTTTTTTTTGCTTGATCTAAGATATTAGAATAAGAGTCTTAATTCTATTATATAAGAAAATATAGTTAATATTGAAGTACTTCAAATAGCAAGTAGTTCTAAATTAGTTAAAAATTTTTAAATTAATTAATTATATTTTTTTTTTATATTTTAATAAATTAAATTAGTAAATATTATAATTAATATTAATTTACAAAAGCTAATAATGAAAATTAAGTATTAGTATTAAATAAATAGTATAAAAGTCTAATTTAATCTTTTAGAAATACTATATTTTAATATAGTACAATTAGAGTTAGCATGAACTAGTTAATAGTCAAACTTGACTAGACCAGTTTGACTAATTTGACTAGTTAGTCAAAGGGTTTAGATTAGTCAAATTGGTTAAATTAGTTAAATAATATATAAAGTATATTATATATATATATTTATTTATTTATATATTAAAATTATTTATTTAATAATTAAACTATTTAACTAATTTAACCAGACTATTTGACCAATTTAATTAAACTAGTTTAACTAACAAATTTTTGGTTGACTAGTAATTTGACCAACTTTGAGTACAATATTTTATTTTTAGCTTAGATTTTTGTTTAGTCTTTTTATAGTATATCTTAACAAATATATTTAATAGTTTTATCTTAATTAGATTAGCTAATATTTATGATATACTAAATATTACTTATGTATCATATATAGCATATGTATTATTTGTAGTATATCTTATTTATATGATCTATTTAGTATATTTGATATATCAGATATATATTAGATATATTTTAAATATATCTTCTAGTATTGCAAAAAGTATAAAGTAATACTTCATTCTCTTTAAAAAACTTAGCTTACTACAAGTTCAATAAAATAATCATAGTTTTAAGAATAAAACTGCTTTTATATAAATAATTCTGATATTATATTTATTAATTTATAATTATTTCTGACAACTAAATTTTGGAGCCTGTTCTGAAATATTTGAATAGAACTATTTTACAAGGAAGTCTAGAAAATCTGATGTAAAGATATGGAAACATAGGAAAAAAAAGAAAAGATTTCTAAAAAAGAAAAATATGCTAAGAAGGAAAAAAAGAAAATCGCTTCAAAGAAAATTTCTATAAGGAAAAAAACAAACTGCAGAATAGATGAAAATACAGTAAACTGTAATATTAGTCTTAAAATAGCATTAGATAGTATAGCTAGAGAAGTAAAGAAGGGAATTTCAGATAGTTAGGTTATAAGTTAGTTATGATAGGCTGTAGCATCTTTTTTATACTGTTATAGTTTATAGATTATAAACTACTCGAATATATAACAAAGGTTACTATAGCTAGTACTTAGATTTGAAAAATCTAGATATCTGTTTAGCTTATCTAGATATCTTACATCCTTATCTGTTATCCATATCTGTTAAGCAGTTGCTTATCTGTTATCTGTATCTATTTAAATTATCATCATCTGAATATCCGTTTAACTTATTCAGATAGCCTATTTACTTATCTGTTAATTGGTTTAATCTAAATAATCTAGATATCTATATCTATTTAGATAATAAAATATTAATAGATATAATTTTTTAATTAAAAAAAACTTTTACTTTAAATTATTAATATTACTAGATAATTTCTTAATTATTTATTTTTAAATTTTATTTAATCTTATATTTTTATATATTTAAGATTTTGCTACATAATTTTTTAGATTTTGCTAATTTT